AGGGATTTTCCTCCTTTTCTCAAATTTACATTTGCTAGAAGGCACAGGTTCTGAGGGATCCAACCTTAGTTTTCTTTCTATGTATGGCCTAACTCATTTGCTTCACTGTCATCAGGAACACGATTTTCTAGTAAGACTGTAAGGACTGTTGGCTTCAGCAGTGAGCTGCAGGAGCCCCTGTGAAGATGCTCATCTCTAGGATCCAGTTTTCCTGCCCCTTCAGGTCAAATGATTTGCATTTAACCATGAAGCTCTTCTGTCCATCAAATATTGTTGGAATTGCATGCAAAACATTCTATCGATTTTAACCAACGTTACCCCAATAAGTTTAATTTTTAAAAAAGAAATGGAAATCTGGTCCATCACAATCTTAGAACATAGTCCATAAACTTCTATTTCTTCAATAAGATCTCACAGTTTTAACATCATGCAATACTTCTCCTATGGACTTACAAAAAATGAGTCTAGCACCCTGAAAAATATTCACTTTTTTAAAAAATATACTTTAATGCAAACACAGATACCCTGTTGTTCTTGTGAATGGAGGCTAGAGACTTTGCAAAGAGAAATGAGAAAATGTTAAGAACTGGGTACTGAGAAAACAGCTCGCACCGAGAAATGAAATTATTCCCAAGATGGTGGGAGAAAGTTTTATTAACAGTTAAGAAACCACACTTTCACAGGCACATTTCGCTGTAAGTGTAAACTGTTCCCTGGTGAACAAAATCAAGTTATAGGAAAAACACCTTTTCTGAAAGTGCTCTGCACGGGGAATTGCTGGAACTTGCCTGTTGCCTTAAAACTTGTTTTCCTCAGTGATGCGGAGCCTTTAAATGGGAGCTCCGTGTAATGGTGACGCCCCCGGGAGATGCTTCCTTTCCGTTGCCACTTATTTCAGTTCCACTCACTTTGGAGGAAATGATGTGTGCAAAACCAAAAGCAGGATCGACCTGTTCTGCAAACAAAGGGATCATTTACTGTCTGTTAATTTATTGCAGCGGAGTATCAGGCACTCTGCAGCAGTGGGCCAGGAATGACCTCAGCAGGCAGCGGTAAGGACTGGTTTCGAAATTTACTACCTTGGGCATGTGCAGAGGCGGTCAGGCCTTCCTGTGGGTTTCCAGTTGGCCCCTTTACACCAGTCTGGTCTGACTCCCTCGTTGGCCATCACTGCATGATGTACCTGGGTCACCAAGAAGCCCCCAGTGGCAGGGCAACCAGGGCACAGCGGGTCCTGGGATTGCTGGGTGTGGGTGTGGGGCGTGGAAATGACAATTGGATGCCTTCCCTGGAGGGCGCGGTTAGAGGACGGTGGGTGAGACACAAAGACTGTGGTTGCTCATTTGCAAGAAGGGGCAGCCTGGCCTTCCTTTGTATCTTCCATTATCAAGTACAGTGAGGGCTATGGGCTCAATTGAATTGTTATTTCATAATTGTCCAGTCATTATAAGATGGCAATTGGGAGCCATCTTATATTTTATATTTTTCATCTTTTGTAGCAGGCAATGACAGCAATTAACTCAGTTGGACGAGAATGAACTATTTAAGTGTAGGAGTAAGAACTAGAGAAATATCAGTGCTATCAAAGGAATTACAATTAAAAGGGAGAGTTGGAATAAGTATAAGACAGGTGATAAGAAAGCCGAAAGGATTATTTTATTAATATAAAACGAAACTATTTGATTCAGGGGAGTTCTGAAAAAAGTGGACAGGCTGAATTGATTGTCAGTTCACTCAACTTGATTGATTTCATCACTTTGAGTGGATGAAGGTGGGAGAGGATATTTGGAAGACAGGAGAGGAGAATTTAGGTAATTTATAATGAATAAGGAGTTAGTGTGGAGTAACTAAGTTGTATTAGGGACCTGCAGAAGTCGAAACGGTCAGCTCTGATGTATAGAAGAGTCAGGCACCAAGATTTGAGACTGCCATTCGCTGTCATTCTGCATCGCCTTCAGCTGTTAGAGCTCTCCTCAGTCTGGGAGGGCACAGCAGAGGGGAACCTAGCATCCTCTGGGCAGAGCCACAGAGGTCTCCCAGCAGAGGTGGAGTCTGAGGGGGCTTTGGCTGGGAGCACAGGTCTGCCTCAAGCCTTCTGGATACAGAGTGAAGAGGGTGTTTTATGTTCATGGAAGAGTGAAAACTTTAAAGTCAATAAGCAGGGTTCATTTTTAATTTGAGCCTGAGGATATTATTACAAGAGTTTGAGCCATGAGAATGACACAGTCACCTAGTTTTGAGGTTAAGTCTGGTGGAAGTGTGGAAGGTGGATGGGAGACGGACAGCAGGTGGCAGAGAGACCAGTTGTAGGAACTTGGGCTCTGCTTTTGATTCACTTTTCCATCTGGCTTTTGGATCAGAAGCCAGGAGGTCTCCTTCAGTTGATTAAGGATTGGAAATCTTTAAGTCCAGGTCAGAAGCCAGTTCCTCTCATAGACTAAGGGAAGGAAGATTTGACTTAGGATATCTTGTACTGAGAAAAAGGGATCAAGGGTTTTTTAATCAAACTGTCACCTTTTTTATTTTCTCTTCACAAGATCCTAAGGTCATTACATTTATTGTAATGCTATCTTTTGACAGTAATTTGGTATTTAGCATGCTATTGATTTTGAACTCTTTTGTGGTGCAGATATAAACGAATGTGCATTAGATCCTGACATTTGTCCGAATGGAATTTGTGAAAACCTCCGTGGGACCTACAAATGTATCTGCAATTCAGGATACGAAGTGGATTCAACTGGGAAAAACTGTGTTGGTGAGGAGTTTCCCCTGTTTTCTAAGATGTTCCACGCACATTGCTTTCCTCCTTTCGATGCTTTGGGGGAAACCACTCATGAAGGACTTCAGGGACTGAGCAGGTGGATGCTCTACACTTTGGGTGACAGCATGGCCCGTCCATGTCTTGGTGGACAAAAATGGATGTAGCTGAATCTTGATAATTTATGAATAAACATATGTCAGATTCAATCCATAAAAGAGGAGCTCCTTAGATACATAAAATGCAAACACTGAACCATTCTTGGATGGCTACGAAGGCATCCCTAATTTTTATCATGAAGCAGCTCTCCTCCCAACCACATTTTAGGATTACTCATGAAAAACCTAGTTTATTTTCAGTAATAACTGCTCTCTGTTAATTTTAACAAATGTCATTTTTATGCTCTAACAATCCTAATGAAGGTTCCAGCCAGTAACTAAATAAATCCTTTGGTTGAGAAGAAAATGATCAACAGAAACACCATTGTTTTCTTCTTCAGGTTCTCCAGTTGCCTAGACTAGTATCTTCTGAAATATGTAGTGTCCGTTCCGTAGTGTAGTGACATATTGCCTCTGGTTTCCTGAAGTTCGACCTCTAAAACCAGAATATTCAGACTTGTGAAAATATGCCAAAGCATACCCAAACCCAAATGTAAGATGGTGAACCTTTTTTATTTGGAAGCAAAACACATTTTACCTCAAAGCAAACATACTTTCATGAAGTGGGATGAAAATTAGTAGTCTTTAAGATAAACAGGAGACCTAAAGTATATGTTTTACTTTCTGAAAGCCGTTTGGGACTTAGAAGTAGGTGTTTACTCCTTTCTGCCTTTAGGATTATGTATGTATGTATGTATGTATTTTTATCCCCACCTGAGGATATTTTTTAAACTAATTTTTAGAGAAAGAGAGAGAGAGATTAATAGTTGCCTCCCATGTGCATCCTGATGGAGGAGGATGGGACCCACAATGTTGTGGTGTATGGGACCACACTTCAACCAACTAAGCCAACCAGGTTTATTAGTGGTATTTTAGGGGTAGGGTTTGAAATGTACTGTTCTAAGGTGGTCAGTCAGTTGTTGAAAATGTAATGATTCAGAGATGCTACAGATTGAAATAAAGAAATGTCCTGTTCATTCTTTTAACACACAATCTAGCAAATATCAGCTGCTTATTGGGTAATGGATTCAACTATCTCCCATCCAGCCATTAGGGAATCACCATATGTTCTGACCCTAGGGAAAAAAAAGTTTCTCCCATATGTCCTTGGGTGTCAGCTGTTTTATTTGTCATGTTTCTCCCTTTACCATTTGGAATCCTCTGGTGTTGGAGAGCTTGATGAAATACTGGGACCCCTCCCAAGAAACTTGTTGCCTTTGAGTAGACAAATAGTGCTTTAATTTATAAGAGGAATGGGATTAAATTATATCATATAGAACTTTACTCCCTTGAACAAGGAACAATGGTCATGCCAATTAAGTTTTTTTTTTACCGTATTTGCCGGCGTAAAAGACGACTGGGCGTATAATGACCCCCTAACACATTTCCACTCAAAATACAGAGTTTGTTATATACTCGCCATATAAGACTACCCCCTCTTCCGCACACCTTCCACACAAAATAAAAGGGGT